GGTACACCCGGACCCCCGCCCCAGCCCGGGGCCGCCGCAGACCCCTCTCCACTGCAGAGCCGCCGGCCCGCCCCCAACCTCTTCCCAGCCCCACCTCCAGCCCCGCCGGCTTCCCAAGAGACCCCCAGACCACGCCCCGACTGGCTTGGGATCCCGGATTTCTAAACAGAGACCTGGGATCAGGTCCCAACACCCAGGGGGACCTCGGACCATGCCTTACCTCCTTTGAGGACCCAGAACATGTTCTACAGCCACCCGGGACCACAAACCACGTCCTACTCTCCTTGGTGACCTCGACTCTCCTCACACCCCATCGAAGACCCCAGGCCATATGTTCCAGAATCCCAGGGATCCAAACCACCCCTATTAGGGACACCAAATCATACCCCCACATTCAGGTGGATCCACGCCCCATCCCTCAGAGACCCCAGGCCATATGTCAGAATCCAGGGAAACCCCAGATCATGCCTTACTCTCGTTGGGGACCCAGCCCATGTTCTACAGCCACCCACGACCACAAACCATATCCCATTCCTTGGGGACCCCCAGCCATGTCCTCCACTCTAGGACCTCAAACCATTCCCTAAGCCCCAATAGGGATTCCCAACTATGTCTACGTTCTAGAGGGCTCAAATATGTCTCTTGTCCCCATGGGAGACCCTAAGCTTCCCCATTTCCCCCATTAGACCCAGACCATCCTCCCCCGCAAGGCACTCCTTGGTTTCCAGAACCCCTGTTTGCCCCAGATTCTTTCCCATCCTCTCCACCAGTCCTATCCTCATGAGGACCCTGCCTCCTCCCTGCTCCTATTCTCTCTCTTGGATCCAACAGAGCCTTCCCCTTCTCTGTGACTCCAGTGTAGTCCAGGATTTCTTGCTCCTTCCTTGTTCAGACCCTTTCATCTAACTCCTACCTAATGACCATCGGCCCCTCTCCAAAACCCCACTGAGTATCTCAGGCCACTCTTCACCTCTTTCTGAGATATTCACTGTGCCCCCAAACCCAGCAAGGCCTCACCTCAAAGTCTGTCTTATTGCCGCCCCCCAGATCCCTGGAGGCCCGAGCACTTTTCATTTTGGATCCCACTGTATCAAGGTCCTACCCCAAACCCCCTTCCCTAAATTCTTCCTTTCCAGGTCATCACAGGAAGCCTGCCCTGCTCCTCAGATCAAGGGCACCTCTGCAGAGCCTATCTCTGGTGGACCTTGAGCCCACTCACAACCAATCCCCACACACACCAAGCTCCAGATCCCACCTCCCACCCTGGTTCCTGGTGCTACCTGCCAGGGCATGGAGGTCCAGGGCTGGGAAAACAGGAGTGGGGGAGACTTATCACAACAGCAAAAGTGGGCACATGGCCAGTACTGCTCACGCCAGGAATGGTTCCAATGCTCCATTCACTCTCACAGCAGCCAGATGAGGAGGTTTCATCACTACCTCCATTTTACAGAAGAGGAAAATTGAGCCTTAGAGAGGTTTAGTCATTTGCCTAAGATCTCACACACACAGTAAGTGGCAGAACAGGGTGGAGGTGAAGGGGAAAGAGGGTGAGAGCAGACCTGGGATGGAAAAGGAGAGGGTGAGAAGAAAGATAATAAGAGAGACAGATACACAGAGATGAGAAACAAAGGCAGGGCAACCTCACTCACAGGCATAACTGGCCCTGTGAGCGCTTATCCTCATATCCGACCATTCTTGTCTTCGGCCGCAGTGATGACTTTTCGGTCTTTGGAGGTATTCCCCTTCCATGGCTGATTCTGTCTTTTCAGACAAGTCTTAATTCAAATGTAATCTCTTCAGAGAGGCTCTCTTTTCCCACCTGCAATTTACATCCCCACCTCCACCCCCACCAATGGTCCTGATATCTGAAAATTACTTTGAAATATATATAAAAGAGGTAGATGGATGGATAGATGAATGGATATGTGACAAAGCAAGTGCAGTAAAATGTTAATGGTGGAATCCAGGTGGTGGGCATATGGGTATTCACTGTGAAATTATTTTGACTTTGCTGCATGTTTGAAATGTTTCAAAATAATGTTAGGAGGGGGGACAAAAGCAGGAGGACTCTTCTAGAGACTAAAGAGGCAACAAAAAATAGCCCCAACAGGTCCCACCACTTCTATCACATCACCTCATTAGATTTCCCTCAGAACACTTATTACTCTTGGTAATGATCTTGTCTGTTTGTTTGTTTACCTAATTACTGTTTACTTATTTATTGCTTACTGTCTAGTCATTGAAATGTAAGACTTCTGAGGGAAGTGGCATGGGCGCCAATTTTTTCCAGTGTTTAAACTACCATTGACCCCAGTGGGTGCTCAGTAAACAGGGGTTCTTGAATGCCTCTTGGGAGAGGATCTGGGAACTGGGCCCACTACAGACTCACCGTAGAGACCACACTCAGGAATAAACGTGTTCTCCTAGCCCAGTGATGGCGAACCTTTTGAGCTCGGCGTGTCAGCATTTTGAAAAACTCTAACTTAACTCTGGTGCCGTGTCACATATAGAAATTTTTTGATATTTGCAACCATAGTAAAACAAAGACTTATATTTTTGATATTTATTTTATATATTTAAATGCCATTTAACAAAGAAAAATCAACCAAAAAAATGAGTTCGCATGTCATCTCTGACACGCGTGTCATAGGTTCGCCATCACTGTCCCAGCCTGAGGTCATTAGAAGGGAAGGGGTATAAGCCAGTGGCTAGGCTAGGGTGTACCCTTAAGGTCAGGGGGTATGAGTTGGCCTGAAAAAGAGGGTGAGGGGTAGAAGTAGATAGTGTGATTATTTCCCTAGGGCCCTAATTCCCGCCCTAGACCAATCTAATTCTTCCACAATTTATCGCCTCTACCCCGACTCCCCAAGCCTATCTCTAAGGCTCCACTCCAAAGCAAAAATCCCAGCCTTATCTAAGCAAAGCACCTGAATTCCAGGTCCCACACCCGAAGTCTAAGCCCCAAACCTTAAACACCACCCTAAAGTATATAGTATGTATTAAGACTTTTTTCTTTTTTTAATTTTTTTTATTGATTTCAGAGAAAGGGAGAGGAAGAGAAACATCAATGATGAAAATCATTGATTAGCTGCCTCCTGCACACCCCCTACTGGGGATGGAGTCCGCAACCCAGGCATGTGCCCTGACTGGGAATGGAACCCTGACCTCCTGGTACTAGTGGGGCCAGACTTCTTTAACTGTGTCCCTGCAACAAGTCTAAGCCCCACTCCACAGCCAAAGCCCTACTCCTCCATCTTAGGCTCCACCCCATAAGCAGCTAGTTGTTAGCCTGGACACTGGTCCCTCAGACCTAGTCTAGGTCCTCCATTCTCAGCTCTACCTAAAATCCAGTCTCCACCTCTCCAATCTAAGCCCTGCTTATATTCTATGTTAGCTCAGAGAAGTGCCTAGGAAAGCCTATGGCCAGGATTCAAAAATTAGGGAGCCTGCCTGGCCAGTGTAGCTCAGTGGTTGAGCATCGACCCATGAACCAGCAGGTCACGGTTGGATTCCCAGTCAGGGCACATGCCTGGGCTGCAGGCTTGATCCCCAGTACGGGGGTGCAGGAGGCAGCCAATGGATGATTCTCTCTCATCATTGATGTCTCTCTCTCTCTCTCTCTCTCTCCCTTTCTCTTCCTGAAAATCAATAAAAACATTTTTTGAAAAATTGAAGGAAGGAACACCCTGAAAAGGGATATGCTTTCTCTTTTAAAAGAGAGACAGAGAGAGAGAGAGAGAGAGAGAGAGAGAGAGAACTAAGGAGCCTGGATCTGTGGGAACCTAGAGGGGAGGTTAGTGGAAAGAGGGGAGGCAGTCCCTGATTTGTACCGCCCTGGAAGGAAGGGGCCCCAAACCCAAAGCCACCACCTCTGTGCTGATTTTTTATTAGATAGTGTATTTGTTCTGGCTTCTCTGGTTGGTCCTTCCATAATCCTTCTGGCCAAACCTACTCTGCATTGGGCTGCTCCTCAGAATCACTCTCTGATTGGTGCCTGTTTTCCAAACTCCCTGCTTCTGATTGGGTAATTCCTTGTACATGCCTCTTTCTGACTAGATGGTTTGCAATAATAAGCTTGGACACAGACATAAGTTTAACTATTGGGGACGAGGAGGGACAAGTGGGAGGGAAGGGAGGAGGAGAAAGAGGGGGAGATGGCCCACCTAAGAAAGTGAGTGGCCAATTGGCCACAGAATAGCCTTGGGTTAAAGTTCTAACTACAGAATCCTAGGTGTGGAACTTCAGGCAACCATTTTTAGTTTCTGTGCCTGTTTCTTCATCTGTAAATTGGGGATAATGTACCTTCTTCATGGGACATTGCAAGAATTAAATGAGTTAATAATATCTATAAAGTGCTTATAGAAGTACTAGCACACAGGAAGCCCTCAGTCAGAGGATTAGCTACTATTAATTTGAACATGTAAGTGCACAACCTTGAACTACTCCTTTGCCTCTCTGACCTCTGCAGGCCAGGGAATTGCTTGACCTCTTAATTGAATGACTTCTCCTATCCCCAGCCCTCCTCCTCTTCCATCTCTAGCCATCAGGGACTCAGGCTGTGATTAGAGGGAGGGGTAGAGACGTGCCTGGCAGAAAGATGAGGTAGGGCACCAGGACAAGTGTCAGAGGAAAGGAGCTCATCACACCCTAACCTTCCTCTCACCCCCTTCCCCCACAGAAAATTGAGGGCAGGGGATTTCTTTATGTAGAGTGATTCTATGCTGAATCCCTCAAGCAAGGCCTTGTCCTGCTTGGGAATAAGGGGGCAAGGGATGGACAAAGTGAGGTGGTGAGGGGATGGTATATTCTGGCTGGGAAGAATGGGGAAGAGTTGGAGCTGGGGAGGGGCAGCCCAGGCCCTAGGTCACAATGCCATTGTTACCATGGCAACAGCCACCTCTATAGGGAACCTGGAAAGGAGTGGAGGAGGGAACCAGGTCCCTGAATCTGGGGACATAGAGAAGAACTGAGACATGAAGGAGAAGCAATGAGACAGAAAGAGTGATTTATAACTATGAAGATCCGCCTGACTTGGAATTTTCAGAGCCTAGTACACTGTTGGTTCTCAATAAATGTCCTTCAGAGACAGAAACAAAGAGCCTGAGGGAGTCAAATGCCCGGGGACGCCAGAAGAAAGAAGAATCTCCAGACAGGGACGAATAGGATGTCCCTTTCCTGCCCCCCTCAACATCATACCCATTAGCGGTCCACTAAGGATCCTGGATCTTCTTTGCCTTCCCCAGCACTGGAACCTCTAGGTCTACCCAACCACAGAAACAACCCACCCCAACAACTCCCAAGCCCCTGAACAATTATGTTTGATCTTTCAACAACTTTCTGCATTTAAATTCTTCCTGACTGAGGCCTCCCTGGGAAAAGGAGTATTCAGTGTAAGCTAATGCCTGCTAACCCCTAGAGCTGGGAAGGGAAGGGAGGAGGGGAAACGGACAATCTCCTTTACTCTCAGGGACCCAGGTATTCTTAATCCCCTCCGGAGTGGCTCCTTCATGGATTCAAATATTCCCCCAATTCCTCCAGGAGACCGGGCCTCCCCCATACTTCCTAGGAAACCCCACAGGCTTCTTTCAGAGAAGCAGGTATCCTCCTTTCCTCCCGGAATTCAGCGGACATCCACTTGGTCTGCCTGCCCTCTGATGGCCTGAGGCTGGTACTGCAGGGACTGTCAGCAGGCGCCCACAATGAGAAACAGAAACTGAGCCAGAATGGAGGATCTCTGAGTTCTTGCAGTTTAATTTCTTCGGGGTCTCAGATGTTCAGGTCCTAGGAGTCTGAGTCCCCAGTTTCTTTGGGGACTCAGACATCAGGAATTCAGACCCCCAACCCAGAGGTCAACGAAAGAAAGACAACTTCTCCTGGAGCCAGGCCTCGGTGAGGTCATCAGTGGTGCGGATTTCAAACACCTGGGCGGGGAGAGGTCTCAATGTCATGACCCATTCAGGAACTGAGAGAGCGAGGACCCCAGCCCCTTCCTCCCTCAGACCCAGGAGGCTAGACTCCCTGACCCCTCCTCCCTAACACTCTGGGATCCTCAGCCCCAGGCCCAGACCTTTGTGAGCTCTGCAGTCTGCACCAGTCTGTTTTTACTCCCTGCATACATCATCTGTTGTTCGGGCTTGCAGCCTGCATGGAAAAGGGGAGAAGGAAACATAACTGGGGGATCCTGGGGTATTCACTAAGGGGCCAGTAATCTCCTGCAGGCCCTGGAGTTTTCTAAGGGTCCTAGGAGCTGTTCTAAGGAGTCCCAGTTTTCAGTTTTGTCTAGGGGCTTGAAGTTATTCAGAGGGTCTTTGGAGATGGGACCCTCAGAATAACTAACTCCCAAACAGGAGTTTCTAGGTTAAAAAAAGAAAAAAAAAGAAAAAGAAAAAAGGATTACTTACACATCTTGAGACTGAGGAGGATGGGTTGGGCTCATGAGAAATCTAAGCCCCCAACTTCCATGCATTGCCTCCCAGTACTCACCAAGTCACGCACACACTCACACACACCTGCACTCTCAAACACTATCTTACACACCCCACACAGAATCTAAGACCCTATTCTCAGGATGGGTAGAGCTGAGTCTCACCCACAGGGCTGGAGAAGATGAAACACAAGGGGTAGGATACTCGGCCATCTTCGTGCACATACTTGTAGCTGTAAACCACGAACCTACACCAGTGAAAAGGAATTCAAATTCAGGACTTCAATGCCGATTACCTAAGTCTACAACCTTGAAATCTTGCATGAGTCTGAGAACCTAGGGTTAACAACTGAGATTGAAGGTACTGGCCTCAAACACAATAAATGATTAAAAATAACAATAATACTAAGTGCTAAATAGACTACCATAGGATCCAGCAATTCCACTTCTGAGTATTTATGCAAAGAAAATGAAACACAAATTTGAAAAGATATATGCACCCCATGTCCATCACAGCATTATTTACAATAGCAAAATATGGAAACAAACTAAATGTCCATCGATGAATGAATGGATAAAGGAGATGTGGTTTATACATACAATGGAATACTATTCAGCCATTAAAAAGAAAGGAAATCCTGCCATTTGTGACAACATGGATGAAACATTGAAACATTATGCTAAGTAAAATAAGTCAGACGAAGAAAGACAAATACTGTTATGATCTCACATTTGGAATTAAAAAAAATAAACAAACAAAAAATCAAGTTCATAGATACAGAGAACAGATTGGTGGTTGCCAGAGGGAGGGGGTTGGTGGTGGGTGAGGGGGGTCAAAGGTACAAACTTCCAGTTATAAAATAATAAGTCATGGGGATCTAATGTACAACATGGTGACTATCTATATATATAAACAGCTAATATGCAAAGTGTCCCCTAGGGAGTTCGACCTGGAGTTCGATGGCTCGCTATGACATGCACTGACCACCAGGGGGCAGCGCGGAACAAAGGAAGGCCCCAGCCAGCAACTGGAAGACCCCAATGGGTCCTGATCGCCAGCCAGGCCAAGGGAACCTACCCATGCACAGATTTCGTGTACCGGGCCTCTAGTAATTAATAATACTGTATTGCCTATTTGAAAGTTGCTAAGAGAGTAAATCTTAAAAGTCCTCATCACAAGAAAAAAAATGTTTTTGTAACTCTGTGTGGTGACAGATGTTAACTAAATTTATTGTGCTGATCATTTCACTATATATACAAATATCAAATCACATTGTACACCTGAAACAGTAATGACATATACAGTAATGTCATATGTCAAATAGACCTCAATGAAAACATTTTAAAAAGAAAAACATAATGGCTTAAAAAAATAGTCAGTGCTGCCCTGGCGAGTGTTGCTAAGTGGTTAGACCGCTGACCTGCACGCCAAAGGTTCATGAGTTCAATTCCCGGTCAAGGGCACATATTTGGGTTGCAGGTTCAATCTGGGCCCCAGTTCAAGCACCTGCAGAAGGCAACTAATCAATGTGTCTCTCTCACATTGGTGTTTCTCTCTCTCTCTCTCTCTTTCTCTCTCTCTCTCTCTCTCTCTCTCTCTCTCTCTCTCAGTCTTTCTCTCTCTCTCTCACCTTCCCTCCCTCCCTTCCACTCTCTCTAAAAGTCAATGGAAAAATATCCTTAGGTGAGAATTAACAAAACAAAACAAAAAGTCAGTGCTTATTTAACTCACAACAACCTTATGATGAAGTTGCTATTTTATCCCTATACTACAGATGGGATAATTGAGGCCCAGAGAGGTGAAGTCACTTGCCCAAAGGTCTATGGGTACATTTGAACCTAGACTATAAATGCTCAACCACTATGTGATACTGTCCAGCTGGGGCTGAGACCAGGACTGCCTACATAATTTGCCACGCTCAGTGCTAATTGAAAATTTGGGGCCCCTTGTTCAAAAGACAAGAGAAAAACTTCTTCCTTTCTTCTGCAAGCTTTGCTATCTTGGACATGGGAACACTTGAAAGGGGAGTGCAGATGCTTACAGGCACACTCTGGAACTTTCATTCAGGAGCAGGAGGTGTCTGACCCTAACCCTCCTGGAATCTGCACTCAGGCCCCCTGCCAGGGCATCACTGGGTGGTGCAGGGAGTGGAAAGAGAACCCGTCCAGGGCTGGAGGGTGGCACTGCCCCAAGCCCTAGCACATGCTCTATGTCTCAGAAGACTTCACAAAAAACACAAATTCAAAGATAAAACTATAAAGGATTTCCAGACAGCAGGCAGCCGCAGAGCATTGCCTCCCACATTCGAGGCTGCCTTCCGGATATGGGGCCCTTTGGGACTACACTTGTCAGACACCCAGGAGCTAGTTCTGGCTGGGATGGAGGCTCAAAATCCTCAGGCACCCAAAATTCACCTCAGGGGAGATGGAAATCTAAACAGACCGGTTACCATAGAAGTGTCAAAGTGTTCCTCCACTCACAAAAAGCACCAGACTTACGTGGCTTCACACAAGATTTTCCCCAATTGTTAAATGTCAAATAATTTATTTGTTACCAGAAATATTCTGCAGCATTCAAGAGGAAGGAAATTTTCTTCTGTTTATTTAATGAAGCAAGAGCAATGTTAAGGCCGAAACCTATCAAAGTTTGTATTTTTAAAAAAGCAAGCTCTAATTTCACATATGATTATCAATGTAAAATTCTGCAACAAAATATTAGTATACTGTACACAAAGTCCTAGGATAAGAACTCTTGGCCTCAAACACAGAGATCCCAAGCTGGTGAATAGGACTGGAACCCCAGCAGTCCCCTCAGTCTCCACCCCCATCATCACCCTTCTCCCCATGGCCTGACCCTCCTGTTCCTTCCCCCAGGATACCTTGGCTGTCTTTCTGGCAACTCCATTTTTAGTTCCTCTGGAGAAATGTTCTGGGGGAGGAGGGAAAAAACAGGAGAGAAGAAAATATTGCCATTAAACAAGCATTTATTATGTGCCAAGATACTGGTCTAAGTAACACACATGGACTAATTCATTGAGCTCTTCCATAATTCTGTGGGGTAGGTCCTATTATTATCCCTGAGCAAGCTGAGGCCCCGAGGTGTTAAGACACTTGCCCTAGATTGCACAGCAACTCTGAGCAGAGGAGTTCAAATATGAATCTGGGTTTAAATCATAACCACTTTACTATACCTCCTTTCAAAAGACCAGAGGGAGCCCAGCTCCTAGCCAATCCCCCTCCCCTGTCAAACAGCCCAGGCTCAGTCTCCATAGGCACCCCTCTAAATCCGTACCACAACACTATGAAGTAAGCCTTATTATCATTCCCATGTTATAGATAAAGACAGTGAGGCCAAGAGAGGGTAAGGTATATATTATAAAGGATGTCTGCTAGCTTTTTATTAACTTATCTGGAAATTCTTTAATTTAAGTGCCAATAATATATTATCATTTTATTGAGCACTATGTGCCAGGCCTTCTAAACCCATTACAAAGATTAAATCATTGAATCCACAAACAACCCTATGAGGTCGGTACTGTTATCTCCATTTCATAGATGAGGAAGCAGAGACCCATACAGTCTCTTGCCTAAGGTCACATCTGAGCGGGGACTTGACCTCCAGGTCTTTCTGGCCCCCAATGCCAGACCCTTGGGTCTCCCAGCCCCACCCACTTCTGGGAGGTCCCATCCACCCAGCCCCTCACCTGAAATTCTTCCTCCAGCACCACCATCTGCCGGTCTTTGTCCACCTTCACTAGGGAGGGATGGCACACAGGGTTTAGTGAGGACACCCCTTCTAACTCAGTGACTCTAGCCCAGCCCTCGTCGTATGTCCCCACCTCCCTCCCATCCTTCCAGGGAAAAGGACACTCACTTATTATGGCTGCATTATCTGTCTCTTTTCGAAAGCGGAATTTCCTCAGCTTTTCCTTTAGCTCTGGGTCCACCTCGCACACCACCAGGGAGTCCGACTGCAGCAGAGCCCAAAAAGAGCTGAGCAGGCCTCGCCTCAGTCCCTGCCCCCTGCCCAAGCCTCAGTGCCTCTATCTAATAATGAAGAGGAATGCTCTGACAGCCCATATGAGGCCTTCATGACATGAGGAAAGGCACCTTTTCTCCAGGCAGATGCTGCCCGTCACCAGGGCACATACTTGGATTATAGAGCAGAGGCCAAATTCCAGCCCTCCAGCAGGTATCCTTGGGCAAAACTCAAGGAAACCCCGAGATCTGTTTACCTGGGGCTAAACCAGGAACCACCATCTCTCTTTCCCAGCCTGGTCCTTTGCCACAGTGGGGGTCCCCTTCCCAGCCCCTTTTCTCCAACACACAGCCTGACCTTCACCCAGGCATCCTCCCAGCCCCAGACCCACCCCAAACGACCCCTGGCCCCCTGACCATGACTTTTCTGTCCACAGGCCTCTTCTTTTCTCAGTTCCGCTGTCTTCTAGGGGTGGGGACGAGGGCTGGGGAGAGAAGGGGGGGCAGGGTGTGGGGTAGGGGAAAGGTTTCATACAACACCACATCCTGTTTATGCCCATTCTGGGACAACTGCTGCAGAGGGCTCCTCCCCCTCCTTCCTTCCCCTAATCTGCCAGGACCTCTGAGCCTTTGAAATCACCTAGACTTGGATTCAAATGCTGCCTTGCTATGTGACCATCGCTAAGTAACTTCACCCTCTGACTCAGGATTATTGTGAGGATAAAATGGCTTTACATGTCTCCAGGCATGGTGGACATTCTCCACACACAAAAGATAATAATGAGCTCTTTATCTCCTCCCCTCCTCCAGGAAGCCTTCCTGGATTTCCCCCCACTTAGAGTATTTTAACTCGAGCTGAAAAGGGGAGCTGCTAGTCAAACTGTCACCTACTATGTTGATGGGGAAATGGAGAGGACACAGGAGACACCATAGCAGCAGGGTAATGATGAATTTCTTCCTGAAGTTATTCAGCCTCACAGGCTTTATAATGGGCCCTACAACAATGGTGTTCAATCTTGTCAGACTAGTACCCCTTTTTTATTAAGGGTTTTGTATTGCTTCCTGTCTCATCCTGAAATGAAATTCCTGGATAATGTACCCTACTTACACACATACATTTTTTTAAAAAATCAATATAATGTTCTGTCATATAAAGGAGAAATGAAAAAGTAATTTATAGGAAAACGCTATGCATTTCAGTAAGGAAATACAAGCAAACAAAAGAGAATTTTTGCAGATCCCAGCCCCATAATGGCTGCTTCCCTCCATAGTAGTGGACAAGCCTTTCTATTCCCCACTACCTCACACTGGATCCCACCCCTTCATCCACTTAAGGGCATCACTGCAGCTATCCCCGTCTCCCTGCGTCATCATAGTCCCATCTCTGCTGGATCTGTCCCTCAGATAGGCAGTGTTACTTCTTCCATCTTAAAAACTGTAAACCCTATCTCCTGCCCAGCCACTGCCCATTCATTTCCTTCCCTTTTCAGCAAAACTTCTTGAAAGCATTGTTTACGCTTGCTATTTGCAATTTCTCTTCCCCATTTTTCCTTCTAGTCTCTCCCAGCAGACTCTCACTCCCGTCCTTCTCCCCTGACAGGGCCACCAATGACCTGTATGGTGCTAGACCTCATGGTCACTTCTCATTCTTCATCTGACACCATCATCGCTCCCTGCGCTCTGGGCTTTTTTCACTTGGCTTTCAGGATACCACCCTCCCCAGGTTTCCCTCCGACTCCGCTGTCTGCTCCTCCTCCTGACAGTGGAGTGCCCCCTTCTCTTTCCCATCTACCTTCCTCTCTTCCTGTTCTCATCATTCTCTTGCCTTTCAAAGAGGTTACCTTAATAATTTCTCCATCTGGGCATGCCCCTCACCTCTACCAGTGGTTCTCAACCTTCCTAATGCCGTGACCCTTTAATACAGTTCCTCATGTTGTGGTGACCCCCAACCATAAAATTATTTTCGTTGCTACTTCATAACTGTAATTTTGCTACTGTTATGAATCGTAATGTAAATATCTGATAAGCAGGATGTATTTAGGTGACCCCTGTGAAAGGGGTCGTGACCCACAGGTTGAGAACCGCTACTCTAGACTCGTACATCCAGTGGCCAACCTGACATCTCCACTTGGATATCTTGGAGTCATCCTTGACCCTTCTCCTTCCTTTGACAACATACATTAGAACTTGTCAGCTTAGACCTTCCAACTGTAACCAGAACCTGCCCACTTCTCCCCCTCCACAGCCCATACCCTGGTCCTGCCACCTTCATCTTCTGCCTGAACACTTAAAGCAGAAAGGAGTGAAGCCCCCCTTCTCCCTCTGCACTGTTTCCCTACTCCCCTTTTCCCACAGGCTAATGTTCACAGGATTACCAGCAGGATCCTTATAAAACACAAGTCAGATGACATACTGCCTCTCTTAAAACCCTACCCATGGCTCTCATATTATTGGGGTAAAAGCAAAAGCCCTTACAGTAGCCTTTAGAACTAAATTAGCTGCCATCACCTCTCCTCCATTACCTCTTGGACCCTGTCTTCCACTACTCTCCCCTGTGCTCACTGCAGCTACGCTAGCCTTTGTGATCCTGTGAATAATCCCGCCCCTGGGCCTTTGCCCTTGCCATGAACTCTTTCAGGAACCCTCTTTCCCTCATGGCTCA